TTAATAAACACACTTGAGGTCATCGGCATAAATAAAGTTTACGACTTGCTGACTTCAGTCGCAATATCACTGATGTAATTAAGGAAGGAGTTGCATAGACATTTGCGGAATAATGGTAAATATGCAAGATTTTCAGGAAGACCGTGTAACCAGTGCACCTCGGAGAGTTCCGTCGTCAACAAATTGCGGTCAAAAATGCATCCATCATGCACGGAATGAATGTGAATACGGAATTATCCGACAGGCAGAACAAAAGCCGAAGATTGTATCTCACTGTATTAGCAAATATCTGAAAATCAAAGTCCCGGTCTCAGTCCTGGAGGATGGCGATGTTGTAAATGATAATGATTTTTATTTAATGTCAGTTCACAGGCATTGTCAGGGAAGCGTTAAACACAAATCCGCCCAGCAGTGAAAGAAAAACTCGTATGGGAAAGGAATAAAAATATAGTTGACGGGTTTTATGGTCTGGAGGGTTCAGGAAAAAATAAGTGCTGGCGACAAATTTTGACCGTTGTAGTGTAAACGGCAAGTAAACTACAAACAATAATAAATATCTAACCCTAAGTAGGGGATGCTGCGTTACTTACCAGAAAAATGACAATAGCATACTGAGTATAAGAAAAACGACAAAAGGTAAATAATTGTACAGACTAACGATAAATAAAGCCTTCTCCACAATCGTTGGCAGTAGGGTGAATGTGCTGGGCAAAATCCGATACGAAGTCAGTGAATGAGGCTTGTCGCTCAGGTGAAATTACATCCAGTTAAATATGGCCAAAAGATATAAAAGTTTCGTGTCGATTGACTAAAAGCGACTGACGCAAATGAGTGCAATCAACGAAACAACGAGAGCAAGCAACAGACGGCGACAAAAGTCACGCTTTTTCACATGTCGAAACCAGGTGTGTGTATTTTTGCTGATTTAAACAACAGTACAGAAACGTTCAGATGTACAAGAAATTTTTAGAGTGAAAAATCGAATGTTTGCATGAGCCTACACCGTCAAGAAGGGAGGGGCTGCACGGTATCGGATAATGTCAGTCGGCAATTTCTACTATGAAAATGGGACTAGTCCAAACAAAAGCGCCGAAGAACATCTGTCGCTGTCGGCCGAAGAAATTGTCCCTGGTGAGACCGGCCGTAGTGTTCAGAGACCACAAACACCATCGCTACGGTACAGTCGATCAGAGCTTTCAGCACCCAAAATTTGTGGGAGCTTTTCTGAATGCAAAAATCGTGTAATAGTTCTCTTAAATAAAGGATAATTTTGCAGAGTCTTCACACTCATGGGTAGTTTATTCCAAGTAGCAATTGCATTTACGGAAAAGAAGCGACGATATTTAACAATACGTGTCAGAGGTAGAAAAAAAAAGACCTCACGGTGTCCGTTACGTCGGGGGTGGGCATGATGTCTTAAAGAGGTGAGTGGGTTAAATGTGTGATTATATAAGAGTTTAAATAGAAAGAATTGTCCCTTTTGTAATCTACGGAACCATAAAGGATCGAGGCCTGTAAGCCGGCAACGTTCTTGGTAAGACAAATGTCGGTGTTCCGGGGTTAAAATTCTTTTGGTAAAAAGTGTTAAACGTATTCTATTTTCTTCCGCTTAGCAGCAAGCATGAGGCTAAATAAAAAGGAACAGTATTCCAAGCAAGGTCTAACATACATGTTGTAAAGGCGCATTCTAATGTCCCTAGTTTTAAAATTTCGGAGGATAAACCCGGTCGTTCTACGTGCTTTAGAGACTAACAAGGCACAGTGCTCCGAGAGATTGAGACTCTTGGAGTATGATACGCCTAGATCCTTAATAATCCCAGGCACATTTATGGCGTGACCGTCAATACTTAGTTGAGGCTGGCGGTCGTCGCCAACCACCATGACTGAGCACTTATGCCAAGAGAGAAAAAGGCGCCATGTGCGGCACCACTGAGCGAAATCCTGTAAGTCAATCTTTAGGAGCTCATGCACGATATCATGATCTGCTGACTTATATCGATATGCAACTTTAAGATCATCGGCATACATGAAAGGCTTACAATTCTGGAATTAATGGGCTACATCATTAACGAAATGGTAAAACAAAAGCGGGCCGAGTACACTATCCTGGATGACTCCACTCCTCACACGTGTGGGGTTGGAGATAGCATTGGAAATCTTAACGCATTGTGTAAGAGCGCACAGGTAAAAGGATAAAAAATTCAGAAGTTTGCCACCTATTCCGAAAGAGGACAATTTCAAGAGAAGAAGAGCAAGGTCAGCACGATCAAAAGCCTTAGTGAAATCGAAATATACTGTGTAAAGTGCAAAACCATGGTCCCTAGATTGGAGAACATAGTCAAAGAGAGTTGACAGATGTCAAAAGACTGAGTTTTGATGAATCTATGCTGGGCAGCACTCAGTAGGTTATTATCAGTTAATTGACACATCATATTGTAAGAGACAAACCCACTATTTGGGCACAGCGAGTTGGCTATCCAGGAAACGAAAATAGCAGTATCCCAACAGTTACAAACTAGTAAATAAGAACAAATTCGCCGGCAGGAAAAAGTGCACGTGCGTGTTCTTTGTCTTATTCAAAGTTGTGTCAAAGCGTATTGTAACTGATTAAAACAAAACAGACTTAAATGTCACTACAATCTTATCCTTGATCAATGTCTCTAAGATCTTCGAAACTGCGGGGAGGGTGTTTATTGGCCGAAAGTCATCACATGACGTGGATTTTCCATGCTTAGGAGTGGGCAAAATGTGTGATTCCTTCCACAGGGTAGGATAAGTTTCATTTTCAAGAGCGAGATTAAATATCCTACATTAGAGGGATGGGAAAATCCTATTTGCATCGGCTTTTAAAATACTTACTTGGAGACCATCAGAGCCTTGACTAAAAGATTGACGAAAACGCCGAATCGCAATAGTCACATCCCACAGAGTGAAAGTTATGGTTTCTAGAACTGCCCCGGTCAATGCCTGGATGGTCGGAAGCGGAGTGGTCGAGTCTTGAATAGACGTTTTGGACAGAAAATCATTGAAGAAGTTGTCAAAAACAGCGAGGAAGCCGAACACTTCAGTGAGTACTTTGGCTCGGCTTTTACTGGGGAAACGGAATTTCGAAGTCATAGTGCTGGCAATGCCGTTAAGACTACTGGTTCCATATTTAACTCCATACTCTCCCCAAAATCTGTCGTAGAAAGGATCTACAGAACCTCAAACAGGCAATGTTCTCGGGTCCGAACACAATACCTGCCAGATCGTTGAAGGAACTGTCGAACGAACTCTCCAAACCGCTTGCACTTGTTTCCCTTTCGGCGTTCGAATTAGAAGGTTGCCGTTGGAATGGACGGCAGCAAGGATGAGGCTAGCGTTAATGCTAACAAATACCGGCCTTTAAGTCACACCTCTATATGCCGTAAGATAATGGATGCCATAGTTAGGAAAGCAACAATGAATTTCCTGGAACAGAACCACAAACTCTCATCTCTGCAGCACGGCTTCAAACGGAAATGCTCATGCCTTTGCAGATTATTGCTCTCGACTGAACAATGGGTTCGTAAACTGGATGAGGATGGTAGTGTCGAAGTCATCTACACGGGCTTCAAGTAGGCGTTCGGCAGCGTCCCGCACAAACGCCTAATCTACAAACTTTCTGAAATTGGGATAAGAGGATAACTGCTGACATGGATAACAGATTTTCTTACAGGGAGATCACAAACCGTGTGCGTTGGGGGCTCGAGGTCAACTCCTAATGTCGTTCTGAGTGGTTTGCCCCAGGACTCCGTCTTAGGGCCGTTGCAAGTTCTGGTTTGCATTAACGACTACGTTAACGACCGGGGATGAAGCGCCATCATGTTTGCTGACGACATTAAGCTGTGGAGAGTCATCAGACAGGTACGCTCTTCAAAACATCCTCAAACGCCTGAGCAATTACCTACTCGTTTGCTTCTCAATCTTAATGTGGACGAATGTGTGGTCCTGAGGCTCCACCAAAATGACCAGTAAAGAGGATGATTCCCTTCAATACGTTTCGACGGGCAGCCCATTTCAAATGTTGTGTAACAGAAAACCTCGGCGTCCTAATGACCTCCTAGCTGAAACCATCGTCACAGGGTTAGAATCGCAGCCAAACACGCGACACGGGTGTTATTTGAGTAGAGGCAAGGATTTGTGCTGATCGATAAGAAGCTGTTCGGAAAAACCTACAGGGCCTTCGTTCGGTCTCCCTTAGAGCATGCGAATCAGGCTTGGTGATCGTTGTTGAAGAGGGATTATTAACAACTGGAAAGAGTACCGGCGATGGCTACGAAAACGGTCAAGAATCTGGATCATCTGTCTTACGGAACCAGACTGGCTGAACTAAATATATTTCCTCTCGATTACAGGCAATTGAGCGGCGACCTCATTCAAACATACCGCATAGCCAGAGGTCGTGAGTGCGCCCTAGACTTTGACGAATTCTACGAATTTGTCGGGATGGATAGTTTGCGTGCTCAACCGCCCCCCCCCCCAAACTACAGAGGATGTTGGCCCATATAGATGTCCGACGCGACGCCTTCTCACAGAGAGGGCCATTGGAGCATGGTCCAGATCCCCTGATGCGACAGTTCTTTCCAAAACTGTTCAGTTCTTTACTTACAGAATAGACGCTTATTTTCTGGGAAACTACTGTACAGATAATCATGATCGTTCTTGTGGCAGCATTTGTCGCTTGACTCACAATTACCGTTAACTTTTAAATTTCGAGAATTAATGATCAGATCATCAGATCAGATCAGCTTTATTAAGGGAAAGGTAGGCGAGCGCCTTTGAACTCCCTTTTGGTTACAATAACGTCATAAAAACAATGTGTATGCAAGTGTGAAAAAAAATTGGGTAAGTAATTACATACAACAAGCATTGGCCACTGGTATGAATTTGTCTGTGAATGCCTTCTATATCAAATTGTACAATATCCAGTACGGTACTGAATGGACCAAGTAATATCAAAGCAAGCGCATTTGTGGCGGTCAGGAGATAGCTAAAATTGTAAAACGTAATGTTACTAAAATATAGGGGGTAGCATGCTTTGTAACATAAATGTTGCATTTGATTCTATATCTGTTAATGGTTATGAATAGGCAGCCCAAGGGCGAAAACCTCATTATCCAGTAAACTCACTTAAACTGACTGAATTATCTGGTTGTCGTTTTTTATAATTTGTTCTGACCCACCCATCATAATGCCGGGTGAAGACTTTCGGCGATTTTTCATGTGTTTCTGAAAAAAATTGAGTTGTTTTTTTTTCGGGAGATTCTAGTACCCGAAGCCTTGCTGCAATGGTTCATTGTTTTTGATTGTGGTAACTAGGTCGAAAATATGAATATGAATAAATAACTCACACGGGGGCTGTGTAGCTGTTTTTCAGCTTCTAATTTTTTGGAAAGGTAGTTTGGGATTAATGGTTTCTTAGACGGGAATCCGGCGTCTATAAAGGTATCTCAAATTATAAATTGGGCAGAGTATAAGAGGTTAATTGCATTCATAAGAAATGTTGTTATAAGTTATGGATTTCAGTCAAATGACCTAATAACGCACCATTCAATGCGTTGTTGGTGGGCGCAAAGTCGACCGACATGGAAAGAAATTCGAAACGCATGTAAAGGAATCCCCGGTTTGCCAATTAAGCAAGTCCTTTTACGCTGTGGGGATGGGCAGCATACAATTACAGGTTGACAGCTTAGTGCACGTGGTCATATATAAACAAAATGTTCGACGTAGACCTATGTCGTTGATGACTGCCGAAATGCCTAGCTAAACCTTCTGGCTTGCGCAGACATTCACATAAATTAACCTAAATATTATGGCACCGGACTTTTCTGAGATAGTTAAAAAGCTTGACCGAAATGTGCACTAAAAATGTGACTTTAAATTAGCCAATGTATGACCTTAACACTTTCGTTACTGTAAATAGTGCAATTATCGAACGACAGCACAACTCGGATGCTATGGCTAAATTGGAGCCTTATTACATTACTAAGGATCTTCTTTATTCCGAATGTCGCGCCAAAATTACTAAAAATGAACACAAATTTGATCCATCAGTTGTCGAAAGGGCAAAGGATAGTGCATTAATAAAAGATGAAAATGTTTCATATTGGGCAAGGGAATTGGACGATGAAAACCGAATTTTATCTACCTGTCTGAGAAGTACTACAACAAAAAGTCAGACTTTTGGTCGGCAGTACTATGAAAAATCTGTCGACAGCCGATATACGGCAATAAGCGGAGTTTCTAAAAGGCCTAGGTGTAGGATTTATTACGTATTTGCATCATTATGCACATTTGGCAGTTAAACATATCGGAGACCCAGCAATCTTTCCAATGGTACCTGTGACTTTCACAATTATACGAAATATGGACAAAGAGGCCTTTGAACCTGCCTCCATTGCTAGCATCAGATTTCGACATGCAATTAAATCGTACCAAACAGAGAGAATATGCGCGGAGGATAGGATTGCAAAACTTCAGTCAATCAGGGTATGAGAGTGTTCTTCACTTCTATGTTACCCGATCCCAGTAGTCAATTTTTAAAGAGATTTTGAATTTTTTTCGGGCACTGCTTCAAATAACCCACGTCTAAGCCCGCCGACCGTCGAGCCTGCTGTCATATATGTCTTAGAAGGCGCTCTTGGTTAGAAGAGCTTGGTCCTTCATCGGACGACCAAAATTCCACTGAAAAGGTGAATAGGGAAGCATAATATTGGCAAGGCCTGCCTACTGCAGACTGCATAAGGAGGCCATAGATAAACAAATGCGTCAATAGAAAAGAGCGTCCAACCATAGCCTTTGCTAGAACGCTGTTAATAATTACATAATAAAAATTATATGGGTGCGCTTGAGTTCGTATTCTAGTCCAAGTTGTTCTAATGGATAAGCTGAACGTTCAACCCGCATCAGAAAAAAAGTGTGATAGCAAAATAACAAAAAACCTCCCTTTTCTAAGGTTCTAGGTAAGGGATCTTCAAACAAGTTTCAGATAGTTTGAATAAATGTCACTCAATCACTTTCCGCTTCCAAATTTGGACAAAAAGTTTTACCATTGTCATTACAAATTTCTTTAAACAGCAGGTACAGGTAAAAACGAATGAAGCGCAACAAATATGTAAAGGTGTCGCAAATCGGCAAAACGGAAGTGCAACAGGTAATTAGGAAATGGACCTTCCACGCCGTGATAAATAAGAGCATGGACAGAATGAAAGATGTATTTCAATGAAGCTGGGAAATGCTTTAAGACAGAAGACCTGAGACGCAGGAGTTCTCCTTCGAGTTTGCTGAACGCGAAGCTGTGGAAATCTCCAAGAAAAGGTTTTTCTGCTGAAATCACTTTTAAAGGGGCGGGCAGAGAACGATTGCTAAATTTAGGCAAATATATATTCTTTAATGCTCGTTTTAGAGGTCACGCACTCAGACCGGAAAAATATTAGCAAAATAGTTAATAAGTCCCGTTATCATCTACCTTTGGCTGATTATTGAAAAGGATCAATTACTCATTTTATACTTGTATGATAATGTCAACCTTATTGTATCTTATAACTGTTCTTCTGAGGACCACTTCAAAAGGACCTGGGATGTGTGTAAAATCACAGAAATCCATGAAGATTGCAGACCTGCGCACTTATATCTAAAATAAAGACTGGCGTTGAGATTCCACGGAAAGGCGTAAAAGATCAAAAGTGATATGAAGCTGTTATAGAACTAAGGGATACCATCCAATGTCTTAAGAAATTAAGGCGTAAAGCGGCATGTAGCCTAATAAGGACGGAGCGAAAGCCTAAAAATTAAAAATATCAAAAAAACATATCGTGAAGCGAGCTTTTTTTATCTCCTCATGATTGAACTTTTGTATTTATTGCTGTTTAAAATTGAAAGCAAATACAGCAATAAGTGGGAAAGAGTATTTTAAATAAAATTGAAACCACCAATATCAAGGGCACATTTAAAGAGATTTTGCGTAATTATCTAAAGATTTTTGATTTTGTGTAATACATATTTAATATTGACTCAACTGTGAATGACACCTATGGATTATATATTTGACAACATATATAAAGACGACCATGAATAACGGAGTATGTGAGTTTGTTCGAGTCATGTCGTAGACTAAAATTAATTACTGATTCTTTCCAAAATGTGGTCACTCAAATCTTTACAGTTTCCTCTAATCATCTTAGCGATTCTTCAGAAGATGTCATTTTATCAAGGCGGCAAATGGGGATGTTATCAGAAGTAGTGACATTCGGCACTATTACTTTAAAGAGTTTCACAAATAAAACCAATTTGTGAGCCATTTGCAACAACAAAACTCCAATAAATAGATAGAGACGCATACTTCATGCTCAAGCCTGCCATAATCGATAAATGGAATGCCTAAATGTAGTATATGCCCTACCCTTGTGTCGGAGAAGTTATTGAGCTTGAACCAACTGATATATAAGCCCTTGTCACTTTCCGCATTAACTTTATGTGTGATTCTACAGGTAAACAGTAATAAGCACGTTTATATCCTAATGTTAAGACACAAGCGCAGTCCAAACATTTAACCAGCCAGGCAAAAATTTGTTAAATTATATTTTTGAATTCTGTTTATCCTGTCGCAGGATTCTGACTGCTAATTGCGAACTGTAAACACGAGCCTCAAGTGACACAAGTCAAACCATTTTTTATTGAAATTTACATGGTAAATGTCAAACCTAATTGCAAGATAGGGGGTCGATGTCTTAGCTTGTAGACGGCTTTGTGGAAAGAATAAATGTAAGATCTTAGAAGAATATCCAATGAAACAATATTGAGTATTACTGTCAGCTCCTGTCTTCTGAATTTAAGCCCTGTTCTTGGATTATAATTTTGCCATAAAAGGGAATCTCCGCCCAGCTCCAAAGCGCCCACTTTGGACAGCTCACAAGAGTTCCGGTACCAAAGGCCAAAGATGTTGCGACTCCTGGGGTAAGCGACTGTTTAACGGCAGAGGACCTAAATGTTTAATTAACGAATTTAGGGACTGCAATACCTCGATTTTACAGTTGGTATATTTTATATGTCTGAAAAAACAATCACTGGTGAAAATCTAAATTTAATTTGAGTTTAATTTTAATGGTTGATGACCTGGTAAGTGAGTGTTTCTTGCAAATCAACAAAATTACCTGTAGTTTCGTACGCTTTATTTTGGCGGTAAGATAGAATGCAATTTCACCGAAATGCTTTCATATAATCTAAATGATAAACAACTAAAAAAACACATATCTGTTTGTGCGGGTACCATACGGGAGATTCGTTCACCTTCCGAATCGCCTTCTGGCCGCTTATAGTATTACTTAAATGCATTTCCTACTTAATTTCTAACTGGCAAACCTGCGGTCAACAATATGCAGACGATCGGTATAGCTAAACCGTTCACAAAGTACTGCGCGTCACATAAACCTCTTTGTGAGTACAAAATTTCACCAAATCATCCCGATGATGAATCAGTGAATAAACGAACAGGTTATCAATCTGCTTGACACTTTTCTGTAATCATCGTCCAATAGCAAGAAGATCACATACCTCGAAAGAGCAATCAAAGCTTTGGTAGTCGTCCGGAGAGCCGGCGTTTATTTCGCCTACACGACATTTCCCTCCAGTCTTTGAGGTCTTCCAGCACCGAATTCGTGGAAAACTGCTGCATCCTAGACACCACAAAGAACATGGTCTCAAAAAGCTGCATTCAACACGAGAGAAACATCTTCTGTGAACCCTTTAGCGTACTGGTGCTTCTGGAGAGGTAAGTTTCCTTTTTTGTAGTTCCGATCTATGCCTTCTAAAGATCCCAGACGATTCAAATGACTTCCTTCATCTTTCTCTTCTGATGGCTCTGCTGCGGGGTTGACTATGCTATAGGGATGCAAAAGAGGCCTACTGTCCAGAGCGCCTTATTCATACCGATAGCCCTGATTGGCTCGCCTATTGCAACGGTGGACGCGCAAACCGAGATATTGAGTTCAGCAGACTGTCTGGACTTGCGGGCGCCTCGCTGCCTGGGTCTGTCGCCACCACTGATGCATCAAGGAGAAGCACAGTAAAAACTTCGGTCACTGCTGCCGCTTCCATGGAGTACGTGAGTTTTTTCTCAACAGAGCGTCCTTGAAATACCACTGTACACTCTTTTGAGTCTCGTCATAAAGTAGACATTTACGCGTTGCTACTAAATTTATAAAGAATAATCAGCTCCTTCATTCAGTACGATTGACCATAACAGTTCAACCGTCTTAGCCGAAGGTGCCCACTGTGTGCTCTTCACCAAGGTGGAAGAAGGCGTAGTGACTTGTGCGGGAATTGGTTTATAGTGGCAGTAGACTTGCATAGCATCAACTACACTCTCTCCTACCTCCCAGCTGGGCCCGGTGTCAAGACCCGGTCAAAAAGATAGAAGGCGGGGGGACGCAAGTGACTGGCAGGATCGGGCCCTCACATAGGCGTATCACCACAAACACTTGACCGGGATTTTAACCAGCGACAAAAATGGGTCAGACAGGGAAGAGGATGACAAAAGTCACTGAGCAACCATGTCCACGGCCAGGATCGCAAGCGCATCCACCGGCAGGGAACCAGATGCCAGAGAAT